AGTCAGCCCTCAGGATGCATTCTTGACTGCTGAGTCAGCTCTCAGGATGCATTCTTGACTGCTGAGTCAGCTCTCAGGATGCATTCTTAATTGCTGAGTCAGCTCTCAGGATGCCTTCTTAATTGCTGAGTCAGCTCTCAGGATGCATTCTTGACTGCTGAGTCAGCCCTCAGGATGCATTCTTGACTGCTGAGTCAGCTCTCAGGATGTATTCTTAATTGCTGAGTCAGCCCTCAGGATGCATTCTTGACTGCTGAGTCAGCTCTCAGCCTCTTTTCTTTTTTCCTTTTCTTTTCTTTCTCTCTTAAGACAGTCTAACTATATATCCTTGGCTGACCTGGAACTCTATGTTGTCCAGACTGACCCCAAATTCACAGAGATCCACCTGCCTCTGCCCTGAGCGCTGGGAGATTGGAGGTGTGCACCACCACCACAGGCAGTCATGTGGCAGTTTTCACTTGTTTCTATATCAACTTGTGACACTGTCAGGCCTGCAGTTCCCTCTCTGCCTCTGCCTCCTTGGGCCTAAGAAATGTCCAAGGGACACTCCCTAGGATGCCGCGGCCAAAAGCGACAGCCAACGCACAACGAGGGCCTGAGGACAACTTATGCGCACAAATGTCTCTTTCAGGATGGGCTGAGGAGCCCATGACTGGTTCTTGTAGCTTTTGCTACCTGAATTGGCTCAGCTGAGAAAACCCTTAAACCAACCAGAAGTCTGAATGTAGAAAAGCCAAAGGAAAGTCTGTAGATTGTTACCGGGCATGTCTTCCCAGAGAGAGTCAAACATTAAAAAACTCTAAAAGCCAGGGGCTGGAGAGCGGGCTCAGTGGCGAAGAGCACCGGCTGCTTTTGCAGAGGACCCAGATTTGATTCTAACAGTCACCCAGCAGCTCACAACTGTGTGTAACTCCAGTTCCAGACCATCAGACACCCTCTTCTGGCCTCTGCGGGCATCAGTCATTCAAGAGATTCATAGACATATGTCTATGCAGGCAAAACACCCATACACATAAAAATAACTTTTTTAAAAACAGAATGATGTTGAGGGAGAACACTCATGAGAAGATAACCACATTGTCTGCTAAATTTGACATTAAAAACCCCAAATAAGCAATTAGACAACTTAGAGCGGGGACACTAGTTATATCCCTGTGTGGGTCTTATAATTGGAATGAAAGGGTGGTACTCTGATCCTAAGACTTAACACTCCCGAGATAGGGGCTGGGAGTGCATCTCAGTGGCAGACTATACCTAGCTTATGTGAATCCCAGCTCAAGTGCCAGCATTGCCAAAGTAAAAGTCCTGAGACACAGAACTCTGTACCTGTTGCCACCCCAACCCAGCCTAGCGCTTTGCTCAGTTTTGTTTCTGGTCTGTGAAGTCAACAAACTCATGGCCATTCCAAGATTTCCCAGACTGGACTGTGAAATCTCATTGCATATATAAGTATGGGATGATTGTAACTACTAAAAATATCCATTTGAAGTTAACCAGTATTGTAATATGAACACTTACACTTGAAAGGTTTCAAAAACAGTGTAACTTTGTGCAGTTGCTCCATAGACATCCACCAAAGATACATCAGCACCTTGCTGGAGAAGAAGGCTGATCATATTTTTAAACTGAGCTCTCACAGCATGTATGAGGGGGGACCTAAAAGAACAAATGTAATGTCACCATGACACGCTTTGCTTGTTTGTTTGTTTGTTTTTGAGACAGGACCTCTCTACACAGCCCTGGCTGTCCTGGTCCTCATTAGGTAGACCAGGCAAGTGCTACCACACTGGACTTCCTGACATACTTTAATAAAGTCATGTAAACACCTATTCAAGTTCCTCTCTTGCCTGTGTGTTACAGTGGCCATTAGCAGTTAGACCAGACAACACATTGGGGGATGTCATTCACTCATCTTTGTCACCTCTAAAAGGAAAAACCCTGAAAAGGAAGAACCCAGAGCCCTCCTGGGCCGCTGCTGTACTCAGTAGAATCCATGCCATGCAATGGACAGTACCGTGCCTTGATCATTTACCTGAAGTGGGTGAAATTAAGAAATGAAGGAGTTTCCATTACTTCCCTGGCCTGATATAATATACTGTAATTCATAGTCAGCAACAGGCCAAATAAGGAAAATCTTTTGTATTGTTTCAAAAGTTATTAATATGAAACAGTAGTAGTAAAGACAATAGCAGGTTGGAGAAATGACTTGGTAGTTAAGAGCACTTGTTTGTTCTTTTTTTTTTTTTTTCACTTGTTTGTTCTTGCGGAGGACCTTGGTTCAGTTCTCAGCACCCACATGGTGGCTCAAAACCGTCAATAACTCCAGCTCAGAGGATCTGACACCCTCTTTTGATTTCGTTGGGTACCAGACATGTATGTGGTACATAGACATATATGCAGACAAAACATTCATAAACATAAAAAAATCAAATAAATCTTTAAAATTAGAGATAATTTTTAGTAACTGATTTAGTAGTTAACAGGGCTGACTACCTTGTGCTAGGTGCTAATATAAATGCTATATATGTGATCTGAAAACCACTCTTCAAGAATATCTCCTTATCTTGGCAAACTGGAGAGGCAGCTCAGAAGTTAAGAGCACTTAATGCTCTTGTAGAGAAGACCCAGTTTCAGTTCCTAGCACTCACGTCAGGTGGATCACAACTGTCTGTGACCCCAATTCCAGGGTTTCTGATGCCCTCCTTCCATCTCTACGAGCACCAGACAGACAAGTGGAATCTTGTCTGACAGACATTGGAATCTTAAACTAACAGTCTACACTTCTAAACATACAAACATACATACATACAAGCAAAACATCCCTACATACAAATAAGCAAAATGTTCTTAAATGATTAAAAAGGAATAGTATCCTTATTTTCATATCAGAAAATATATTTGGTGACTAGCAATATTCCTGAGGTCAAGCATGAATCAGAAAGGCACACCTAACCCCAGTCTTGTGTGAAGGAAGCCAAGCCACCCCTTTATCAGTCTCCTCACCTACTTACACTACATTTGTTCCTCTGGACACGGCAGGTCAATGAGTAGAAGTCGATTGCGGTTTTAAGCATCGAGCAACTGACTCGAGCTGGTTGTACCACTGAGGTGACTGGATCACATGGGTGACTGGATCACATGACATCATCACTATAGTCATTCATTCGTGAGATCAGAGATAACTTGTCAATTAGGATGGGATGTGGGTCCTGGGTGGAGGACCTGACGAGTGTCCTTTGAAGGGTGTGCCTTGTCAAGGGAACCTTCTATTTTTCTGCATCATGGCTTCAAGGAGATGAGACCCTCCTCTGCCTCCTGCCCCCACTTCCTGTCATAGTCTACCTTCCTTCTGGCTCCAAGATAAGTCTAGCCCACCGTGGATTGGAACCTGTGAAACAAATAAATCTTTCCTCTATTAAACGATTTCTTCTCTGTACTTGGTCAGACTAGTGACTAGCTGAACACATCAACATAAAGCATAGAAGGATGGGAGACACTGAGCAATATCTAATGATATATAGTCACTTAGAGATAATCTGATATCGATATTCTTCAGACAAAGCAACTTAAAGCAAAGAGCCATTAAAGATACAAAGCGATTTTTCAAAAGTAGTTCTCACTAATATAGTATTTTAAAGGAAATATATACAAGAGATGGAGGTGGGAAATATTGTAAAATTGTTAAGAATTTCATTGGAATCTTAAACTAACAGTCTACACTTCTAAAGGTAAGACTAATATGAAACTATTTTAGTTAATATAAAATCACATGACTTAAAAAATCAACTCGAAGTAACAAAGATCAGTCAATATTTAAAGGAGATGTGAGCCCTGCACTTTGTGTGTGTGTGTGTGTGTGTGTGTGTGTG